CTCTGTAAAAGACTCGACTTTTATCCAATGGAGTTTGCCCAGTAAAGCCATTGGAAGAGTTTGAAACAACATCCATCGCAAAATAAAATCACGGTTGATCATCAGTTACCTTCTCAATAAAAAGAAGCCATGTTATGCCGAGTAGGCCTATTAAATAAACACAGAAAAACATTGTTAAATAGTTATTTTCCATTTCTGATTGTCTTCTGCTCATTTTTAAAAAATTTTTATGCCATTTTCAGAATCTGAATGTGCATTGTTTTTGTTCATTCTTTATGGTCCTCTTTAGTCTTCCTTGTTTTGGAGTTCATTCAACGCTGGTATATAGAATTTTGTATGTAGTGTCATCCCCATAGCTTGTGGCTGTTTTGATACCCCGTAGTAATCGGTCAGACCAAAGTAGTCTTCAATGCAAGTATTACCGTCGCTTGATTAGACCACAAAGCACTGCCAAACTGTTAATAATCCTGTCGAAATGGGAAATTAAAAAAAGAAGGGGGGACGGACAAATTGACGATGATATAACGAGTGCGATTGTGTACAAGTCACATCATGACTGTGTACCTAGAGGGCAAGGCAAACAACTCGCGATTTTTCACCTAATTCTCAAAAAAACAACTCCGAGTTTGGACAGCAAGCACAACTTGCTTGCCGAGGAGGAACGGTAAGTTATTGGGAGAGATGGAAGACAAATAGGGGGACTATGATAAGAGAGGCGAGATCATATAGCAGGGTGGGTAAACAAAACAGGAATCCGTGTACTCGTGTTATGAAGGCTTGAGATGGACTTGGGGGTAGGCCGGTGGCCACGAGTGCGACTCTCGTCTTATCTTAGCTCCGTTCACTCCTCCTTAATCCCCGCCCGTAAAGCCCCGGCCAAACCCGGGCATGTCGAACTATACTCCCCTCCATAAACGCCGGACTCCGCGAATCGGTCATCTTGCAAGCGCGCGTGCTAGGATTAGGAGGGGGAGAGCGGGGGGCTCCAGGCCCCGGTGTTACAGCGGCCGTGGACGGGGTCGGCACCGCGGTTGTGAAAATGTTAGCGGCTTACCGGCCCACCTTGGGCTGTTTTCACGCCGTGTACAAGCAATTTACGCGGCGAGCGGAGATGTTTTGATTCGGTTCGGGCTCGTGAGCGTCCCTAATGAGGCTGCCCGTGTGTTCCCAGTTGCTGTGCCATAAAGAAAAAAAGACTAGAGATTTGTTTTAATATTTCGTGAGTCATTGAAAACTTCGCAACATTTACTCTCACTTTGTTTTGCTGTTACTTCAGTTGGCGCACACCGCTTGCTGCGCCTATAGTACCCCACGAGCATGTTATAGCGCCCTCTATTGTTGTACTAATTTTCATCCCGACAATAATACCAATGGTTCGAACGCAATTTTTGAGCATTGTGCCGAGCGTATTATGAATCGTAGGATTTCGCACTATGCGAATCTGTCCCTCCATGTTTACATAAAGAAGCTAATGTGAATGTCACTCTTGTCCTAACTCTGTATCTCATGTTTTAGTACACCATGGTTGTGGAGAGATTTTGCTATTTCTTGGATGATTTTTGTATAATTTTTTTTAAAGACAATTGCAATATTTGTATTTTTTAACTGTACATCGCCTTGAGATTTTATGTTATCAAATGGTATGCGCTGTATGAGAATAAACTATTATTATTATTGTTATTATCTTACATCCTTGTAACGGTACTACACTGCATACTTCGAAGGTGTCGTACACAATTTGTGGCCAAATTTCCGTTATGACAATCCAACATAAATTCAACTGCAAGTTGTTATAATCGTCTGCAGCCACCTCTGTCCATTTTTCCAGGTGACGACTTTACATTACGATTATGAGATGCTTCACCAATAAATTTAAGCTAAACATTAATCATGTAAATATGTTTTTGTAATTGCAAGCGGTCTTTGACCCGTGTTTTGAGGGGGAAACCTCCACAGTTTGGATTTGCTGTCTTCAGCCTCTTGCTAAACTAAATTGTCTTTCTCTTTCGCTACCACGGCAGAAGGGTCAGCCCTTGGGGTGAGTCGCTAGCCCCGTATACCGGCCCGGCTCTGCAGCCGCTGAGGAGAGATCGACTACGGGGGGAAGGCATAGATGCAAGCGGGCAGATCAAAATCGCCCGTAACGGCCATGGCGGTGTTTTTATTAGCCCGCCTTCTTGCCGGGGATTTTCTGCAGTATATAGGGAGATAGAAGGGGACAGGGTAATGATCTTGGCACGGCCGACCGCCATCCTTGTGGTCTTCGATCTTTTCCCGACGTGTGGCTCCTAGAATTAATATTCGATTGGAGTCGAGATCGGGATGAAAAGTACAGAATTCGAGAATTTACGAGATCAGACGAGAAGACGCAGGTTCGCAGAGTCAGACACACAAACAGGCAGAAAAAGGTTAGCAGAAGAACAAACTGGGTTAAATTAGTAAAATTTGGAATAACAGTAGCATGATCGGCAAAATGGATAGACAGAGGGAACAAATACGGCAACGGACGGACGGACAAACAGATTTACTGGGAGACTATTGGCACAGCATAGATAAGGCCGGAACAATAAAACCTCTTTGTTATTGATGAATAAAGCCCTGTGTTCCCATGGTGATTTGCATTAGAATGAATGTGCTGTTGCATGTTAGTTTGATGCCATTGCAAAAGCTCATTGCTTTTGAGAAGGCGTACAAACGCACCTTTCCTATGCACACGAAGGTACATTGTAAACTATTGGCAGAAAAACAATACTCCACCTTCCATCTGTTTCTCTCGATCTCTGGCTAGCATCCTCTCTTTGCCAAACTAACCCTTGATGTCTTGTTTAGATTCCAAGCGGACGCCATGGTTTGACCTATAGGTCTATGTTTGACATGTGCTTGAGCTGCCAACATTTACATTATGTTCGCTCTTCCACAAACGCACAGCCGTGGGTAGCAAGGCGTATGTACATGTATGTGGCGTGGTGGTTGATCAATTGCCACGACGCGAAATTATATTTTTCTTCACAAAAATATCCTCAAAAAAATAGGCCAAATACAATTTGTCGAGGTATTTATGACGCACATCAAAATAATTAAGCATGAATCTTTTACTTACTGTTAAATTGTTGATGTTTTGTTTTGTTTTGTTTTTTGATGGAATGACGTTCGGTTGATATTTCCCTCTAAGAAAAAGAAACAAATGCTTCTACTCAATCTGTTGCAAAATAAAGCGACTTTCTTCCAAATTCGATCCTCAGAAATACTAGCTGCACAATCCTGTTAATTGCTGGAATTTTTCATTTTTACAAGCATGAGAACAAACAAATAATGTTTAGAAGCAGCAGGCAATGTTTTAACTTTATTTACTGGTTTGCAACCAAAAGATACCCGACCATCCCTTCCCATTTGTTTGATTGATTCCCCTTGCGTTTTCGGGGGCATAAGGTTGAAATCTTTTTCCCTCTTTCAATTAAGGTGAGTTGAAGGGGGTAGGTCGGAAAAATATATTTAAAATATACGATGCTATCTCCTGCATTCTGAGGCAATTAGAGAATAAATTTAGGAACTTTAGCATTCCATTTATTATTTGTTGGCCCATTTTACTAGTAACATTTTACTAGTAAGCAGCTGGATCCGCCACTTTTTTTTTATTCCAATGCAGCATTCTAAATGCAGCACTCTAATATCAAATGAGATCAAGAAATATATGAACTCGTATATTGATCTGTATCAAGTGTATATAAAGTCCCAATATTTAAACGATTATCATCATGTAATGGAAAAGCAGATTTTGAAATTGTTTGTGTTGCATTTCCTTTATCTGTACTGCCATTGCAAAGGGTTCAGTTATTTTGTTTTGCTTTTCCCATCAACATTATGGTTATCACGGGGAGACATGGCAGATTGCTATCCAACCACACAATGAGCATTTACTCCAAAAGGATTGGAATGTATCTGATGAAACAATTGCAAATGTCGGTGGTTGGGATTTTTAATTTTGTTTTTTTCACATTATGGTCTCCATGAGCGGGTTTATTTTGAGTTCAGGTTCAGTTGTGAGAAGCAGTGGGCTAAGAATTAACGGGTTTTAATAACCATTTTATTGTCATCGTTTTCTGAAGAAGAAAAAAAGGTTTTTGAGAACCTGAAAGCTAAATTAATAGGAAACAAATATTTAGATTTAATGGAGACATCTGGACGAGATAGACGCATGCGTTTATGTTGGTTTCACATTCGCCATTAAGCTAGAACTCAACATATGTTTTATTATTTCGCCCAGTCTGACATTAACATTATCGTCCGAATCACCTAAAAAAAATCGTTGTCATTTGGGGCTGAAAAAAAATAGTACAAAAGACAATTACATGAACCTGTGCATTAGTCAACAATCAAACGTACCATTGAGTAGTTAACGACAATGATAAAAAAAATATCGATAGCACCACAGTACAGTGCTAGTTCAAAATTAAGTACTCCGATTGTCTAAAATACTGAGCATTTACAAATGCCTTGAAATGAAAACGTTCCAAGATTTGTCTCTTCAAGTTCACATTCAAAAACGATGTTTTCCAGCAATGAGAAGTGGGTTTTTCAGTCTTTTCATTTTTATATTCAAGTATCCAGTGAGCGAATTTGATGGCAAGTCAAGATTATTTTGATGCGAATGTGTCAGGATTTCAGATTTTTTTTACATTTTATTGTCTAGAAGAATACCGGTAACAGATGGAGATTCTTTTCGTGCTTTTCTGAAAAAGGTAGAATGCAGGCCTACTCGTACATAAATACATTGTACATAGCTTTGTACTGTGTACAAAAAGTGTGTTAGTTTGACTTAGCAGAGAGAGAGAGAGACGGTAGGCGTGGCCAAGAAGCAGTGATGCCTGCACTCTGACAGTCCGTCAAGTCAACGGACCAATCAGACTCCTCCGGTCCCTGTCACCGTCCAACCGAGCGAGGGCGCTCGTCACGGTCACCGTAAAGTTATCACTGATAATGATCTGGCTGCACCAACACGCGGCATGTATGTATATATTAGTTTCTGTAACTGGACTCACCGCAATCTATCAAACCGAGGGGTGCGCGCGGCTGCTGCAAGAAGAACGTGATCTGGATTGGCCGCCGATGTTTAATTTCCTCCGATATGTGGGGGCAAATCTTGACAAAATCTGCCTTTTCCTTGAAGCCTATACGGCATGGATTGACAGATAACGGTTCTTGCTAGCCCGCGCTGCCCATCACCGTCGTGCTCACGTCACATTGTTTGATGCGCTAAGATCACCTAATTATCAGAGATAGGCGTACACAAGTGTTGAGCAAACTTCATTGATATGCAAATGAACCGACGTCCAGCCGACAAATGACAACATTGGGAGGTCACGTGGTGAGAAACTGTACAAGTGGCTGTGCTACTATAGATAAAGAAGACAACGGAGTTGTGAGCGGCGATTGTCAGTCCAACTGCCTATCAAGGTAGCACAGGAAAACTTGGAGCAAAAAAGGTTCACCTTTTCTTCTCTGAATGGACTCAGAAAAATCCCGTGTTTCTTGAGCCGACGTTAGTTTACGGTCACCCAGGCGATTTATCAGTGAGCATAGCCGGTCCAGCTTGCTGGTACCTCGGCCTCAGCATTCTATATACGTGTGTTTGCATTGAAGCGCACACGAGTTTATAGTCAAGGGGGCCGCATTAACAACATCACAGCGACCTCAACTGTGAAAGGCCGGCGTGTGTGGGGATAACCTAATTCTTGAGCGGTTTTTCTTGTGACTTGTCAGTGCGAGAGGCAGTTGAGTGTGACCACGCGCTGACTGTGTATAGCTGGCTGGGGCAACTCGACTGTCAAACGACGGACGGGGTAGACATCAGGTGGCTGCCGCGGAGCCATTACGTACCGGCGGCGTCCGTGTCACAACAGCTGAATACGACGGGGTTATCGTCGGATCAGACCGGCGTAGACATGACCGTAAGCTCCGCTAATGCCATGGAGGAGTCAAAGGTGAGCGCTCCGACGCAACAGCAGCAGCAGCAACATCAGCAGCAGCAGCACCAGCAGCAACCGCAGCAGCAGCAGCAACAACACGAGACGGGGATAGTCGTCGGTGGACCGGGAGTCGGTGGGTTCTACTGCCGTAAAGATCCACCACCGCCCCCGCCGCGTCATGCCAAAGACACGGTGCAAATGGAGCAGTTCTCGGACAGTGAGATGGTGGACTCGGTGGACAAGGAGGAGCCAGAACTGCACGGTAAGGACTCCGAAGACATCGAGCTTGTGTCCGAGAAACAGACCGAAGCAGACGCGTCCAGCGACGGTAAAAAGGCCAAATCTAGCACCGTCAAACCACCTTACTCGTACATTGCTCTCATAACTATGGCCATCCTACAGTCGCCTCAGAAGAGACTAACACTCAGCGGTATTTGTGAGTTTATCATGAACAGGTTTCCGTACTACCGCGAAAAATTCCCAATTTGGCAGAACAGCATACGGCATAACTTGTCCCTAAATGACTGTTTCATCAAAATTCCACGAGAGCCGGGTAACCCAGGCAAGGGCAACTACTGGACGCTGGATCCAGCCAGCGAGGACATGTTCGACAACGGGTCATTTCTGCGGAGGCGGAAACGCTACAAGCGCCACCAGCCAGATCTGGGGCTAAGTCTACGGGAACATTCGGCATTCTTAGCAGGCAGCCCGTACGGACATCACATAAGTTACGGTCACCCCCACGCTATGTTGCCGTATCATTATGTATCACCGCTCCCTCCCCCCGTGCCTCTGTCTCTGACCACCTCGGCAGCTCACAGCCTTCACAGCCAGGCGTTGAGTAGCCTCATGTCTGCCGGTACCACAGCCGCACCGGTCCGCTCAGGCTTCAGCATCGAGAGTCTAATCGGTAACGGTGGCAGCACGAACACGTCCAGTGTAAGTAGCACCAGCATCAGTAGCAGCAGTAGCCTAAACTCCCCCGTCAATAGCTTGCTGGCTTTCCGCCCTCCGACCAGCCTGCACTCCGCACTCTCTCCCTTCATTACAGCTGGGGCAGCTAGTGCATTTACTGCCCCTGTGCCTTCCTCCTTTGACTTAGAAAAGTACAGACAATGCTTGCAGTGCAATGGCTTAGCGGGAACAACATGCACCTGGCGCTGATCAATGAACTCAAACTATACATAAATATATATAAAGTATATCTATATATATTGAAACTATATTCAAACTCCGGGACAGAATCTGCCAGGTAAGCTACAAAAAAAAGACAAACAATTCTGATGTATTCCTGCCTGCACTCCCTAAAAACGGACTGAACGGGGGGAAATGTGCTCTACTGTCTGTCATTCTAAGCTTGAGCTCTCGAGGGTCCATTCCCGTGGACAAGCCGCGTGCCGCGATAACGCCTCGACCGAGAAATGGAGCAGATCGTGGCGGGTGTTTGGACGCGTGGAGACCGCAGGGCGATAGCGGGAGACACGGTAGATTCATCCGTGAAATCTCATCATTAGCCGGCGTGTGCGGGCTTCTAAACTTGACGGGTGTACCAGCCAGTGCGGCTCATCTAATGTCGAAGAATAATAACTGGACAAAAAAAGCTCCCTGCTTGTGGAACGATCTCGCTATTCTTGGACAAAAAAATAACTTGTAGGGTTTTGTGGGTTTTTGGTTGATTGTTGGCTGAATGTGAACCACGTTTGCAAGGGACGGTGCTAGCTGCAGACTGCATGGTACGATGACTGAGGGTAGCTGGTAAAACCGTGTAAGTCAAAAAGCTGCATTCTGCCTTTTAACAAACATAACAATACAGACACAGAAGACTAGATTTAAATAGCTTTGGTGTGAACGTATCTTTATAATCAGTAGTTGAAAAAATAATAACGTAGAGTTGTTTTGTCCAGAGAATGCACACACAATCATGCAAAGATTTCATTGACCTGTAGTAGTATTATGTAATGCAATGTCCAATTGCTAGTCACAACTGTCATGTATACTGTTGCCGCGGCTGTGATGTTCATTTCAGACGACACTGGCCCATTGTGTGTATATTTTGTGTACCTATTTTTCCGTTTTTCTTATTTCCAAAAAAAAAGAGAGATTCACTGAGATTTGCATTCCTAGTCAGTCTGAGAACGTGCAAGAAATGACTTTATTTGTTAAAAAAAATTACTAGTATTGGAGCGCCATTGACAAAAGCACGTCTGAATTCACAATTACTGGCCCTTTGGAAGTGCTCGTGTGGGCAGCAAAATTGCCTGACGAATGGAATTTAATTGTGATAACGCGCCAAAAAAAAATGCTTATCGTATTACTCGAACAAATTGTCCATTTATTTTTGTGTTTTATAGAAAGAAACTATTTATTTACTAAGTGTTGTCATGTGCGTTATTGTTATCGATACAGAACAAAACGGAGCCAGAAATTCAACACAATTTCCCTAACTGCTTTGGTTTTTGGGTTTTTTTTTTCAAGTTCATCTGATTGCTCGATTTGCAGTTGATGAAAGTATTTTCAGAGTAATCTTCTTTTTTGGTTCATCTTAAAATGTAATTCATTTAATGTAATGGTAAATGATGAGGAAACGCACGATTTAAAAGTATTGTTTGAATGTCATCCAAAACCCCAAAACAAAATCTTGAATAAAATCACGATTATTTTTTTCTCGAGGTGCAAAAAGACGTTTGATACAATGCTGCTGCATTCTAAGTACATCAAATGTGAAACTCAAGATCCTAAAACAACTACTGCGGTTACAAATTGCCTTCTTTTAGAAACCACAGTTCGAAGCCAAATACGATGAAATGAGACTTTTTTCAATTAGAATCATTGGGCATTGAGGCGGCCTATGTCACTCTGAAGCCATAGCTCGCAGCCACACCAAAACCCTAAAACAACCATTTTTAAGAGGTGCTTTTGATCTTTATTATCATTATAATCATTACTGAGATATTTACAGCCGCCCTTTTTGGGGGAGTAGCCGCAAGGCAGGACCCCGCGCTAGCCGCCGGACCCGCCCCTTTCAGTGGCCAAGAAAAGAGGGGGAAAAAAGTAGAAAAACTCGGGTGTTGTGAGTTTCATATTTCATGTAGTGACTACTGTAAGAGCGTGAGCAGCGAGTGCTATGCCCATATAGCCCCTGGCCCAGCCCGGGCGGGAGGGCACGGGGGCCGAGGTGCTGCCTTCCCCTTGTTATGAGATCGCCCGCACTCGCAGGTGTTCTTCTCACATTGGCAACGCGATCACAACGCTATCCCAGCCAGAATTCGTACGGACACATAAAAAAAAACCTGCACGCCCGTATTAATATTTTCTGGACACCTGAACTTTTCACTAATAGTCTCTCCCTCAGTCACTCTGGGATATCTATTGCACCCTTCTGCCCATATCCAAGGGCTCGGCTATATCCGGGACCTCTAGCAGTATTCTATTGACCGTTTTAGTTCTTAAGAATTTATAGCCTGAATAATCAACGGAGGAACATAAATCGAATTTTACATAGAAATTTGCTGAGAGAATGTCTTATTGGCTTTGGTACTTCGACACACCGGATTTTTTTTTTTTAGATTTAGCGCTGATTTCTTAATGCACGTTGATGAAGTGTTTTGGTCCAATGTGACAAAGGTGTGTCTGCTTCTTTTTAAGTTTGTAGTTTCCGGTAATCTTGCGTACATTTTACCAAAAAAAGGCCTACTTTTTGTGAAGGTCTGATTTTTAGAAAATTCAGCTTGTATGGTCCGGGAATTTCGGCCTACAGTGGGCCAGTGTGTATAATATTTGTGCAATTACTATAAACTATGTGATAAAACTTAAAAATAAATAATAATACGATTGTTGGCCAATGTATATGATAACACGATGGTTGTGAAACGTTATACAAGAATTTGTATGGAAAAAAATAAGAAAATAGGAGGCTTTTTGTCTCCGATATGTGGAAAAAAAGAAACTCGAGTCGCAGTTTGTCTTTAATCAGATCTGTTTGCCTCGTAAAAGGTGTGGAGATTAATAGTTCAATTCAGATGGTTTCTTTATTGATTTTTTTTAAAAATCTGACACAGGGTAATATTGTCGCGAGAATTTCTAATCTACGTCACGTGTGGTCTTATGTAGGAGAGACCATATGCGCTCTTCTTAAAGATCAGAAAATATGTCATTCACTTTTTGGATTGCTCGCTTCAGAAGGCAGAACGTTTTCCCACAGATTTTCTTTTTTTTTTAGAAGAGCACAGATTCTTTTCGAACGAAATTTCAATCATTTCGATCGGATAATGATAGGTCGTGCTGTTTACTTCTGATCAGAGGTAAAATAAAAATCTGCCTTATAGTTATAGGAGAGATCTCATTCTATCTTCACCGTACAAATTCCTGGTTAAAGGGAATGTACAACATTTGCTTTTACTGCAACTTTCCGACAATGATAAATGGATTATTTCAGGATTAGTATGTTATAGAAAATATTGTTAAACTGACTTGTTTCACGTTTTGGGTTTATATATAGATGCTGGAAAAACCAATAAAACCAATCATGTTCTTGTAGTCTTGTTCCCCGACCCCACTTTAGATGAAACGGAGCAATTTTAGACTTTGGGGAATTGTAAGGTCAGGGAATCGGTCTAGCAGGCTTGTACTCCTTTACAGGTGTGTAATCAATTGCAAAGAAAATGCGAAATAACTAAATATGAAAATTTAGAAGCAGTTTTTGAAAAAAGCCAAGTTTCCTTGAAAATGTTAGCACACCAGGAGCCACGATTTTACAGGGTGCTTTAGACTATCATTCCCTAACAATCCAGTATTTCGTGATAATTTGGTCATTTCGTTTTTTGATGTTTGCAAATGTTGTATCTTCCCTTTAAGATTCAGAAATATAGATGGTAGAAGTAAATCCGTAAAACAAAAACAAAAAGAAATATTGGCCTTAAACCTCATCTACTGATTATGACGAAGCATGCTTGAAGTTAAAATATCAATCAATTTCGTTCCATTATTATGTACCGCTGTTTTTGCTTTTTTGTAGGAGCAGCATAAAAAAACCTTGTTATTCCAACTTGGGTAAACCTGTCCATGCAAGTGCCATCTTCCATTCGTCAGTCCCTTTTTTTTCCTTCCCTCCTCTTTTCTCTCTCTCTCCCGCTAACAAGAATCCTCTCGCGATCTTAAACCACATTAATTGTGTCATTTATTACCACTGATAGCTCAATTGATGGCCTTGCCGGCTACACGCCGCCAAACGCACTGCCGTGGAAAGAGGCTGATCTGCCCCATTGGTCTGGACTCATAATTGTGCAGCGTCTGCCGTGACATACAACTTTTCCATTAGGTTTTTTTTTTCTCCAGCAAATCTGTTTATTGGACGCTGTTTTTTGGAAAACATGTTCTTACGAAAACTATACGAAAACTGAGAACTATAATCAGCAATACGCTGATTTTAATTGTTTTAATTACAAAACACGCTACCTGTCGGACTTAGGCACATTATTGACTTCGTCAAAAATGTCTTTTAAGGTCATGATAATAATATTGTGAATGTGAACTTTAATTGATATGTTCCGGTTATTATTAAAACATTAGGACATTCTGTTAACTATATTCCACGATTTCCAATATTACTCAGGATTAGTCAGACACTTGCATGATCTTTCTCTGATGAAACTGTGTCTATCCCGCGTGTGTCGATTGAACAAACGCACACTGAACAAATTCAATCAAAATTGAAATGTTATGATCCAGGCGTGAAAATGATATGCTCTAACCACGTTATCACTAATAATATCAAACTACAACCAACCAGTGTATACCAAAATAATATCTTCTCTTCTTTTTTTTCTTTTTTTATTGATGGGTGCAATTTTGGCATAGGGCAGTGGTTAAGTACCATATAACCTGGACCTTTTTGTACTTTGACGTGCATGTGTGATGACATATGAGGATATTATTTTATGGCATAGGAAATGCGCGGATTACGCGGGGTCGTCATCGTTGCGAAGTGGATTGATGCTATAAGACTCAACACTCCCACAGATCCCTTATTGCAAAATCCAAACATGTTTCACATTTTGAAATGTCTGCTTTTATCTTCGCAGATTTTTTTTTTCTAATTGGGTGGTAATGTATGGATACAGGGTTGTCGAGAAATGGTAATCGCTCATTCAAATTACAAGCAATGACAATTTGCATTAGCTTTAATACACTGTTCACCATTGACATGAAATGATGAGGGTTTTAGTTCACAGTCATCAAAAATTAACGCGCTGCAGGTCAGTTATGGGACAAGTTTGATAATCATTGCCACTATTCTGAACAGGAATGTATACAAACATAGACGGTCATTGAAAGAAAGTGTTTGGGTGATTTTTGCACTTAAATTCAAGATAATAATATGATTTGGAATGGAGCAGAACAATAGAGTTATCGCGCAAAAGTAGGCGTAATGTCTGTACCTACGTGCTCCTAGTCATGAACGCCGTAACGTGTCAGGTGATTTGGTTTTTTTTCTAATTTGATTCAAATTCCCCGTATTTTTCCCTTTGTATCTGATCAGGAATAAGTGTTTTTCCAGGAAGGAAAAAGACACTACATGCAAAAATGTCATATCTTCATTCTTCTCCCTCAGCCGGGTTAAAAAAAAATATATCCATCGAAGAAAACAGAAAGTGGCTTATAGGACAAAACGATGCATGGGTGGGAGGATTTTTATCAGTAAATGCCCTTCTTCCTTACCTGATGGCGATGTTCCCCAGGGCTATCTAATAAAAATTGTATCCACAATTAAAAAACCGTAATCACATTTGGCCGTATTGCTGTCTGTGGGAGTATTACACAGGAATCCTTACCAAACCGCAGTGATTTGTTCCTCGGGAAAGTTAAGGACGTAAACAAATCTACCGGTACCTCGCGATATGACTGCCCGAGCAATACCGCTGAAACAAAACCTGCTCATTTCCGGGTCTTGTCACGATTTTCTTTTTCTTTTGGCTTTTTTCCCTTTCAGTGTGGCCAGGCTGGGTGGTATTAATACGCCTGCTCGTTTGGGCTTATCGAGAAGTGTTTTTGTAGCTGTTAAGATAACAAAACCAATAGCGTGACCGGTGTGATATTTTCTTTTATCAGTCGTTCAAAAAGCAATGTTATATTTTCCATTTTTTTTATGACGGGTTCTTTGACCTTGTGTCATCACTAGATCTTACCGTTTGTTAACTCCGTGCATTCCATGGACTATAACTGAATTAACTTGTATATATGTGTCATGATTTACTGATAATTCTAAGGGTTCCTCAAAAGATTAATAAAATACACATTCTTCCACGGAATGACCCAACTTGGCCTTATGTTACCGTCAAAATGAACTGCAGAAACCCTTTTCATCTTTAGACACATGAACACGCACATCAGCGGATGGTCATGACATTTCCACGGGATGGGAATGTATTGTGACATCTTAAGGGTGGATTCCATATGTCATAATGCAGCAAACTTGGACTGTGGTGTTATGTACTAGACCAGACATCAACATCCTAGCAGATCACGTCAGCAATTGTCATACAAATGCGA